TTATTGAGATGCACCTGTATATTTGAATGTTGAGCAGCGAGCCCATTAGCTACCGATACAGGAGAGAACCAATCAGCTGTGCCATGTGATAATGATGTCATTAGGTCAGATTGAGTTAGACCTATCGGACTGCGCCATCTAGAGTTTCATGCCAGAACTCTGTATTTAGTGAACAAATAATTGTGAACTTATTTAATTGATTAACTGAAAAGGTCTAAATCAAAAGAATGCTTTGTTCATAAATCAGAAAATGTTGTTGTGTGACCAGATCATTCTACAAATCATTAATAGATTCACTGAAATAGTCTGACTCAAAAAAAAGGCATGAATCTGACATCACTACATGAACAAATCTTTCAGCAATGTGAACTTAATTGATTCACTGAAAAGAACCTCAATGTATAAAATAATACAAAAAGTGTTTTCAAATATGCTTTATATGATATGCTGCAAAATCGCAACAACATGACACAGTCTGCCTCATGCAAACACACACTCTCACTTTCCTCACACACCACACAAACACAAGCACACACACAACCAAAAGTGTTTACACGGATTCCAGGAAGATGATCCAAGCAGATCTCTTAGTTATCTTTTCTGAGAATCTGAAGCAGATTTGAGGGCCATCTGGCCTGTTCTACCACTATAGCCATTGATTCAGCATCAAACGGGATTGTGCATTACACATCAGCTCCTGACAGCACCGGTGGCTTAATGATATGTGCTCATTCTGCTTCAGCCCGGACCATCACTAAAGCATTATGTGCAGAGCTGCTTTCATCCAGGGGTGGTGACAAACAGAAGGCGATTGGTTGAAATGGGATTTTCTCAAACTATGATACATTTACGAAACCTACACAGCAGCAAGAGGGGACTGCAGCGCGTAGGATTGTGTCTGAACTCACATACATAGAGGACTGAAACAATTCTAAAACAACTGAGAGTTGCAGACTTCATTTAAAATTCAACACGGTCCTGAAATACGTCATAGCAATTCACATTCACCTACATATGTGACCCTGGACCACAAAACCAGTCATAAGGGTAAATTTTTCATAATTGAGATTTATACATCATCTGAAAGCTTATAAGCTTTCCATTAATAAGCTTTCCATTGATGTATGGTTTGTTAGGACAGGGCAATATTTGGCAGAGATACAACTATTTAAAAATCTCGAATCTGAGGGTGCAAAAAAATCAAAATACTGAGAAAATCGCCTTTAAAGTTGTCCAAATGAAGTTCTTAGCAATGCATATTACTAATCAAAAATTAAGTTTTGATATATTTATGGTAGGAAATTTACAAAATATCTTCATGGAACATGATCTTTACTTTAAGATTTTTGGCATAAAAGAAAAATTTTAAGATAATTTTGACCAATACAATGTTTTTTTGGCTATTGCTAAAAATATACCCAAGCGACTTAAGACTGGTTTTGTGGTCCAGGGTCACATATATGTATGTACAGTATTTGACATCTTTAAATTAGACATTTTTCTTGTTCAGGAAGTCTGCTAAACTACTAATACATTTCATTGATTTACTAATGCATGTATTTATTTAATCTATATTTACATTCATATATTTGTAACAAAAACATAAAAAAAGAAGTTAAAATGTCACAGTGATTTTGAGCAATGACGTAAACAAAGCGTTTTCGCATTGAATATATATATATATATATATATATATACATACAATTATATTGATACTTTATACTAATATTTATGCTAAAATTATTTTATTTTATATTTATTAAACTTATAAAACTAAAAAAAATACAAACGTTTAAAAATATTTTTTACTTTAGTTTTTTTAGTTTTATAAAATATACAAACACACACATATAACACATACTGTACATACACTGTATATGTGTGTGTGTATATATACACACTACATATATACGTATATGCATGTATAAACACACACTGTGTATGAATATACATCTCAAAATTGCTTGTATTTTTTAATATTTTAACTGCATTACTATTACTACTATTATTCTTGTACGAAAAGACTGCAGGTAGATTTGAAATAGTCTGTGAGTTATGAAGAAAATGAGAAAAATGTCCAACTGCACTCTCCCCTAATGCTAATAAGTGAATTTTGAGGGGTAACCGCAAGAAATAAGAACCGAAAGAAAGAAGAAAAGATGTTATGAGAGATGTAGGAGGAGTTGAGAAGTATGAGAGAGTGGGAGGACTGAGGCTTTATTTGCTTTATGCTAATAAGCACTGTCAAAACTCCCCAAGCACATTTAAAGCCCACTGAGATTGAGATCATTTAGAAAGAAAGTAGAGGAGGAGAGGAAGTGAGAGGGTGGGGTCCAAAATAAGACTGATGATACACTGCAGGAGTGTTAAAATGCACCCACCCGCACACACACAACACTAACTGATAGGACAGTTAGTGTCATTCTATATGCTGTGTATTCAAATACACTGTCTATTAAAACTCCACTCATAAAATGAAACTTAAAAATGTGCATCGTCACCCTCCACACGGTAGATTTGTTGACTGCACACATTTCCCGTGCACATTTCCCACATCACATGCCTTGTTTTCTTTTTCTCTCCCCAGCTGTCATTGTTAATATGACCTTTATGGACTGTCATCTTATTCAGGGTGATGTCAATCATCTTTTCCTATTAGTAGAGCAACTCTATGAGATGCTGTCACCTTTCTTATTTCTTTTCTTCTCTCTAGTTTGTTCCTTTTCTTCTCCTGCATCCAGGTTGTTCCAGCAGGCCTTGTCCTTGTTTTGGCCTCTGGAGTCAGTTTGGAGTCATTGGACTGTGAATGCTGTATCTGAGTTCACCTCCACAGTCCCAGGATGCAAAATAGTCACTCGCACACACACACACTTGACAGATGGAATGAAATGGAATATGAAATGAAAGCGCTAATTGTCAGCGCTGCGCCTGTTCGCAATGAACAGAAGTGGTCGTTTGCTCGATTGCTGCTTTACGCCAAGTTTTTAATCTCTGACCAATTAAAAAGGAAAGCAAAAAATAACAACAGATTATGTGCCAATTTCTCAAGCTTGTTAACAAGGACCATAAAGAACAAAGAAGAACATGAACGATGAGGGAAGCCTAATTGCGTCGGATGCACTTAGCGCTCGCAGGGAGATGAGCAGAACGGATACAGTAGCAGCTGCCAGCGTGTCAAAGATCAGCTGTGTGATGTATCAATCTGGCCACGGCTGAATTTCACCAACATATGTTAGAAGACACGAAATATAGAAGAAGTACCTGAACCTGACACACACCGTTTTGACTCCTGCGGGACTAATGCATACACTTTCAAAGCGTTTGAGGAGTCTTCGGGAACATAAGGAATTGGGAATGAACCTGTGCATTACACTCCAACACAAACACGTGGTCTCTGCTGCACTGAGTTTTCCGTCTCCTTGTGACACTTCCACACACTCAAGAGGTTCGAGCATAGATGGGGTTGTACTTCAAAGTCCCATCAGGCCTGACACTGGAGGCTCTCAGAGGCTGGAGAGGATCGCTTGCTCTTTACAGAGTCAGTTGAGTGCATGACACTCCGGTGGAGTCTGATGCTGGGGTTACATCATGAGACACGACACCAGAGGGATGATGGGATGGAGGGGAGACAGATAAAGAAAGGAAGTGAGACCCGTAGTGACAGGGAAGGAACAGAGTATTTGACATGGTTTGGGATAAAGTTAAACTCCTGGGACGCAGTGAATGTGACGAGATTCATAGAAACCCCAAAAAACACATCCACATACCTGAGTTTTTTGGTCTCTTGGGTGTCAGGTAGCTCTTTTCAGAGGTTAATGCCAACTACCTCACAATACACATTCAAAGTCAAAAGTCAAAGTCTGCTTTATTGTCCATTCTTCCACATGTACAGCACATACATACAGAGAATTGAAATTGCGTTACTCTCAGACCCTTGGTGCATACAGATAACACTAACAGTAGAACATAAAAATACAGATAAATACATATTAAATATATATAAAATACTACTATACAAATATACAAATAAGGACATGTAAAAAAAGATAAATAAAGCAGCACAAGGCACATGGCAGAAATAAATAAACAGTGCAGATATAACGATTGTAGTGCAAAAGAGCTTATTCAGTCTGATTAAAGTGACAAAAAGCTCAAAGAGCAGTTCATTATTTAAACTGTCAGAAGAGGTAGTTGAATGAGGTCATAAAAGAAAAATCAATAATTTTGACCCATACAATGCATTTTTGGCTATTGCTACAAATATACCCCAGTGACTTAAGACTGGTTTTGTGCTCCAGGGTCACATATTTGTATTTCATATATAGCGATGTTGGCTATTTAGTGTATTGGCCATTTAGACTTTTTGTTGTTTCATATTCAATATTGGATATTTAATTGCACTACACTATAATGTAATAACACTGTTGAATGGAATATTTAGCAAATCCCAAAATAAATATCCACTTTTCATTCTGCACATTAAAGGAGGAGAGGAAGGATATGCGATTTTCACATTTATCTGATTGATAAAATAAATAAACAAATAAATAAATAACCAGAGTAATATAAGTACAATAAGTGTGAATAATTAAATTATCACACATGTAATTATTTGTATTTAACAAATTATGAACCACGGTGGACAAACACCTCTTTTCCCAGAATGCTATTACTGTACCAGTTGAATTTCTCTAAATTGTAATTCAGTAGATTCAATTTCTATTAATTACACCTGAACTTCCTTTGGGAGTGGCTAATTCAGTTCAAATTCCCACACATACATCTACATGTAATGATTTAGCATACTCTCCCTTATGACTTTTATCTAGTGCTGACCATGATATCATAAATGGATCACGAAACAAGTCGCCAAATGCTCAACTCCACATACCCTCAAGAGGGTGTCAATCAGTTTCAATCTTTTTGGCAAGGTTCACTTCACTTTTGTTCATTATGGCATCTCAAGGAAACTCTCGAAGACGTTTAGATGACCTGCTGGATTTGCTGAAATTTGATGTAATTGTGATATAAATGTAAGAAAAATAATCGTTCTGCCTGGTCACTGGTTGATGTGGCGATACTAAATATGTACATGAATAAGATTAAAACTTGGGTGTTTGAAATAAATGCGACATTTTCTCTACTTCATTACATTCAAACAGGCAGCCTGCTTTGTAGTCTGGGACTTTGGGGTATATTTGGTCTGAATCAGGGCTTCAGGGGGTTCAGTCTTGGTCTGGATCTTGCAGTTTTCTGGGTGAGGGTCCTAACTGCTTTGTTCCTCTTTCCTATCTCTCAATCTCATTCCTCTGCGGTGTTGTCCTGATTCATCTCTCCTTCCCTCGTTCCTCCTCTCTTTATCCGCTCATCAAATCACTGGTTGGAAAGATCTGTAAGTGTGTGTGTGTGTGTGTCCGTCCCTGTGGACCAAAGAACTCAGAGTTAATAAGACAAGTTTTAATTAATTTTCCCTCTATCAGGGGAGCAGAGAATGAGAAAATGGAGCACGAGCTCCAGAGGTAATGAGAACCCTGTCGGTCTATCCCAGGACACTTGCCCGGGACTGCAACCTTCAGTATAATGCCGAGTTCACACTGCACGATATTAGCCCGATTTTTCACTCGCCGACAGGTTTTGTGAAATCGCCGACAAATGCCCGACATCGGAGGCAAATCGGTGCTCGTTCACGCGAGTGACAATCACGCAGTGTGAATGATCAAAGACTAGATCTGAGGGAATCGCCGACACATCGCCCGCAAAATATTTGGCATGCTAAATATCTGGAGCTGTCGGCGATTCACAATCACACTGTGTGCAATGAGTTCTGACTGAAAACTACATCGGTGATGACCTACAGCCAATGAGAGACCAAGATACAGGGCAGAGGGAAGTTCGGGGAGGAGTTATAGACCAGAATATCAGTATTTTAATAGATATATGAACAATTATATCATACAGAAACAAGCACAAACATTTCCTTGTAGCTGGAAATCAGCTCACAGACAATTTGCGGGCTATATATAGATTTTGTTTTAATAATTCAGTCTTGCTCGAGAACTCCGGTCTGACGCACGCGGGTTCTCGCGTTATTTCCTTATCACTTCTCGCGTGTGTTTTGTTGTGAAATGTAGTTTGCGGACCAGACAGAGCTGTAGGCGATTCTTCCTATTGTGAAGTCATGCAGTGTGAAACCCCCTGTCGCTGATCCATCGTGCAATGTGAACACAGAAGCAACTGAATGCTGCCCCAGATAGTCACGCAGTGTGAAAACAACGGCGATCCGACGAGTTTGAAAATCGTGCAGTGTGAACTCGGCATAAGACTTTAACCTGAAAATCCCAGGATCTAAGTGATACCCACAGTAACCACACACTCATTTGTTAAATGGAACACACTAGTTTAAAATGACCAATGACCTTCTTTCTGTGCAACACATATGAAAAAGTATACTTAGATAAATCACATTGTCAAATATGTCATCAAATTCTTTGCACATATTACGTATAAAGCTTTGTCTATGTAACATGCCAAGATTATTGCTCTTAAAGGGATGCACAAAATAACAGTACTATATAAATTATCATCAAATATTAGTTTTGTACATTTTTATAGATTTATAATTTCAGTTGATATTGTATATAGTTATTCATGCTCATTTCCCCCTTTTTATATTTATATTAAAGTTAATTTTTAAGAACATTAATTTAATAACACTGTTAAATATAATAGTTAGCCAATCTCAAAATAAATATACATCATAACGTTTTTCAACTTCAGTTTTTATTTTTTGGTTTAATATTTTATTTGTATTATTTTTATTTGTTTTGTTTTCATTTAGTTTCAAAATTCAATAAAATAAAATCATATTACAATTATAAAATACTACATTACAATTATTATATCAGCTATCTGTCATATTTAAATAGCACAAAAATGGCCACTTATCGAAGCATCCCTATACTTTCATATGAAAGATAATTTCATACTTAAATCCATCTCCTTTACATTAAACCCGTTTCACAATTCTAAACATAATTGCAAAAAATAAATAAATAAAAAATTCTTAGCCCTTTAAATTATATTCTGACGAGTCTAGAGGCAATTAACAGCACAGAATTTCTCATAAGACAGCTAATTGTGAAGACTTGATTTATAGAAAGTTTTCAGTAAAAAGATCATTCCTTTCCTCTGCCATGATGGCATCCTGTAATTCATTTTCATGCATTTCTATCTAATGGAAGAAGGAATTGACCCCATGGTGTGCGTGCACACATTTAATTGTTTCATAGCAGTGGTTTAAAATTGGAAGAAAAAGCAAGCTGGAATAAATTAAGATCTGTTTTACTTCATCAGTTTTTAATTAGATACATCATGTTCGCTCGCGTACCCCGGCTAATTATCATTGGTGATTTTTCAGGGAATCAAAACAAGTGCATTAATGTTTATTCCACAGCTGAAAGAAACTGAAAGGAAGGATTTATTCTATTCCCTAAAATCTCTTTGAGACTGCAAAATGCATAAACTGTCTTGCAGTCTTACAAAAGTATAGTCAATATACTGCTTGATTTTTCCAGCTGCCTCCAAGGAGTTCACAAGTTACAGCTAACAAGCTTTCATTCAAAGAGTGAAGGTAGTCTTGTGGTTCATTTTTTCAATGACCACATCATGGACAGCTTGTTAAGGCTGGCTGTCACATCTCACATAATTACCTTGAATCCCACAGAGTGAGAAATTCAATCCAGTGAAGTCAATTCACTAAATAATGAAGGAAAAAAAAAAAAAAAAAAAAGGGAAATTAAATGTTGAACGG